GCCTCGAGTATGTCGTTCTTAAAGAGCTGCCACTCGGTTTCAATATCAGTTGTCATCATTGGAATCTGTTCAAACCGTCGTGCGATGTTGTTTGCAAATTTCTTTCTCGTATCCACCGAAGATAATATTTCCCATTCGATTCCGTGGTTGTTTCTGCCACCATATCTTCTTATGATACTCCATTTCTTACAGCGTCGCGTGCCAATAACAAGGTGATGATCGGTTGATAGCTCTGCGTCTCTCTTAATCCGATCATCCGTTACAGAGCGTTGTAAGTCAGACGATACGAATATCAAATCGGTCATCGATTCTGTGCACAAGCTTCTCGGTATCAGGTATACTGATGCACTCTTCGATGCTCGAAGAAGTTGTTCATAAGGGGCAGTCCGTTATTTACAGAAAACCGCAACAACTTCATGCCGTTATTGTTGAGGTCGTTACGGCCGTTTTTTCCAATCCCGCCGTTCCACTTGTCAGCATCTACCCCGACATGTGCATTAAAATCGCCCATGAGTATGTGAGACTCTGTATTCGGCACTTCGGACAGAGAACACTGCACTTCCTCAAGGAAGGAATCATATTCCTCTTCTAAATTGGGCCCATACATCTGCGCCAAGTTGAACGCTTTAGCTTGTTGTGGCTTCAGTCGGAGGATTACGACCCTTCTGCTGATAGGATTCCAGTAAATAGTTCTATCAGCTAGTTTGGGTTCTACCAGAACACCAACACTGGCCTGAGTGCACGCCATGATATCGACATCTGAGTAGAATTGCTTGCACCCGCAGAGTTTAGGATTCCAGAGCGTTGGCGCTTCGTTGACGAAAGTCCAACAATGTCGAGTTAGTGCTTTGTGGCCTTATCAACTAACTCTTATTCTTTCCCTCTGAGGGAAGATATATTTCAGTTTCTGACTGTGAGCTCCCATTATCAAAGTCGTTCTCGTGGAGCCGTTTTGATGTGCTATAATTGCATGACGATATCGACCTCATCCGTTCAGAACGGGTACCTTCTCCGTTGCTGAGTGGTTTCTTTGGCGTCGTTTCATCGATTTTCAGCCGTTTTTGCGCTGCTGCGCCCCTGGCTTGCAGAGGGCGGTGACCATGTTCTGATCGCCGAATTTTTGCTGTCTGCCTCATTACCCAAGCAGCTTGCGCGGCCCTTGGTATCGCAGGCAACGACCGAGCCGGTATAATTTTTGATGACGTCAATAACATGAACGGGAGGTGGCAAAATTTTACGGAGACTTCTCGACGGTCTCTGACCATCTTCCTTTCTGAAGCGGGCCGGCAACGGCGGAGTTATTTCTTTGAGGAAATTAAGATTTACTAAGAAAATTTCATGCCGTCGTGACAGCGAACTTTCAGCTTCATTTTAACCATGCAGAATTTTGGAAGAAGCGTTCTACGGTGCTGACTGAGAAATGTCCCTCTTGGCCAGTGACTTATTTTAGATGTGTGACGTGTTATCTGCAGTTTCAATCTAAAATGTTTACTGTTTACGAAGATAGGAATCTGCTGGGTTTTACTCGATATGTCGTTTTGTTTCTTTATGAGTTGTTTCTGGAGCGCATGTGATTTCGCTGAGACCATGCATTTAGAGATGAAAAGAGCTCACGCTTGATTGACGAAGAGGAAGTGCGACGACTTTTGGAAAGACGACCATTGTCTACCACTGAGCTGGTGGCCAAGTTCAAGCCGAGATGCGTTGGAATGAAGAAGAATGAAATTGTCCAGCGCCTCGCTGATATCCTGAAGCGTCTGAAGCCTGAGCAGTCTCGCCGTAACAGCGTGCTGTACTTTTCACTCGTGAAGAAATGATCTGTGCAGTTGCATTCCTCACTTGATTGATACGATATTAAAGTTGGTTTGTTAAGTCACTGAATCAAAGTTGCTACTTATATCCATCGTACATGTGCAGTGTTGCGGTACAATCCCGTGTAAAGGCTTCAGTTGGTCTTATTGTACCGCAGTATCGGTGTAAGGTAAAGGAAAATTTTTCTTTACACGGTACGTTTTCGCTGTGTAAATCCCGTACCACTATTTAGAATGTGACATTTACCGACAGTACTGAAAGTTCCCGCTTGTGGAAGCTACCCAGAGCATTAGGGTTACATTTTGTTATATTGAGCAATTTTCAGTTGCTTGATTTTTCAGAAATAATGTTCATCATAAACTGTTCTTACCCTTGAGTATGTCAAGTAACGAATGACTCTTTCAAGATCAGATTTCACGGCCTATTGCACCATTCCCTTGCTCCTGGTTGCCTAGAAGGCCATATATGCAGGCATGGTATTTTAACTTATCAGTGCTAGATAGAATTCGCATCATTTTGTCATGAAAGCCACCTCGTGCTCATCACAAACGATGTCTCAGGAACTGGTAACCCTAAGTCATGCTGATTTAAGATTTATTTAATTCTCGTTACTACTAAGCGTCGTGCGGAATGAATCAGATCTACAGTCTCAAATTATTAAGCGTGAAGAGAACCAAAAAGTTAAAAAATGACCTGAAAGCATCCATGTGCAAAGTTTGATCTGTGTCATAGGTACTGAGTTTCAAATAAACTCAGAATTTTGCATAAAAAATCACTTGCTTTTGCTATCAAGTCAGAAAGTAAGCATACTTTGCTCACTTTTGTCGGTCGTAACCTCGCATTGTCGAAGGTGAAGTCTGCGCAGCACCGAAATTAAACAACGGTGCGGCTTATACTTGACACAGCTGCGCGTGACCTGCGCTGAGTCGGGCTGCATTCGTTCAGTGCCTTTGTTCTGATGAAGAGGTACAGCGGCGATAGGAGCCGTAGCAGAAATTTAAGCCGTTTCTTTGCTGAGTTGCGTTCTTCCGACAGGCGATGAAGAGAACACCGTAGATG